TGTATACTACCTATATGTTTCCTGTTATTTAAATATTCTCGGCTTCTAAGTTTTTGGTGTCACTATTTCCCCAAAAGGGCATTTAGTATAACTATTACTGCCCTTGATTTACAAAACTTTCGTACACATTTTAGAAATGTCCTTTATTTAAAAGATTTCAAATCAAAATTGCGTCCTTATATGAATCGACGTGAAATTTTAAATTTCTACAAGTATATTAATAAAAATGATATTAATATAACTAATTCCTTTCGTAAGTATATTTACCTCAGACAAAATTTAGCATATTTAAATTGAAAATTATACTTAATTGTTAAGCTAAATAAAAAGAACCCAAAAAAATATTTTATTATAAAAAATCATTGAAAACATAATCGTACCACAATGTCAGTATCTCAAAAAAATAATACAACTTTGTAATACATTATCAGATCGGCAGTATCTATAATTGCGCTAATGTTCACCGTTTTAGCACAATTATGCACCTGCTGGACCATTGAACTATTATTTAATCACGGAAAATATCAGGTCTACACCTCTCTGTTATATCCATAACACTTTCAATGGTATATGTTTGACATAATTACATTGCGAAGACTATGTTGCTCAATAAAAACTAAGAGAGTTTTGAATTTAGGGTGGTACTTGTGAGAAATCCAAATAAAGGACACAAATTGGTAATATCGCTATAGATTTCTGGAATTGTGTACATATCCATGGGTGAAGAAGCGACGGGAAAGATTGGGGGTGAGGGAAAAACTTAATTCATTCACTAAATCATATCTATTTCAACTTAACATTACAATTAAGGAGACAAACCAAGAATTCTGAATATCAACATCGACTGCTACAAAACTTGTTAAATGACCAACCACGGCTGCACAATGCTCAGAAATGATACATTACCTTGTATACCCATAGACCAACCAAAGGCCTGAAAGAAAAAGGAGAAAATGGAATTCAGCTTTTATATCACAGCTAAGGAACGATGTTGTATAATACTCTCATCATCTAGTGTGTATGATATAATGTTAGCATGTGACACTTCTGACAATTTTAAGATCTGTAGAATTAATATTATTTATTTATCTTAAAATGAATGTTAGAGACAAAACAAATAATGATTTCAAATTTTAGAGGGATGAAAGTTAAAACAAAAGAATTATAACGACTACAACCTAAATTCACTCATTTTATAAGATTTAAAAAACAGTAATCCCAAATTTCACAAATTTTAGAGGGATGAAAATCAAAGAAAAATGCACTACATCCGAAATTCACTCATACTATAAGAAATAAAAACAGTAATTTCAAATCTCACAAGGGCGAAAAATAAAGAAACATGTTCATTTTACAGGAACTAAAATTATATTAAAGTCAAATTACATTATCGATGCAACAGTGCTGAATCACCCTAGTCCCTCACTAAGAGCCCGATACTAATGGCTTCCATGGCTCCCTATTTGACTTTAGACTAATCAAGATAACAAGAACTCTCCTGTAAGCTATGAACAAAATGTAGCAATAATTTTACCTCAATTTAGTGTTACACAAAAATGCAGAGTGAAGAAGGTTTAAATCATCCCCATATCTTCCACAGTATGTTAGCCTTCACACGGAAGCAATTGAGTTGCTACTTTACAATATAGTTTACTGAACAGCATCATTTCCAAATCTTTTCACCAAGAATTCATCCAGCTGACCCCAGTTTGGGGTATCAGATTTACTCAAATCACCCAATGGCAATGACCGTATGCATTGGAGAATATGTTTGACATCTCGATATAACCTAGCAAGTGTGGAAAATTCAAGAAAAAACAAAATTACTCAATTTTTCTGAAGTTCCGTAAAAAGTATTTCTAAACGACTTAACCTCAGAGAAGTAAATACCTATTCTGTGCTTGAGGAGTGCTAATATCAAATTTTGAAAATGCTTCTGAAATTTGTGAGTGAAATATAATGACCACTTGCCTGAAAAATAGCAAACTTGAGAAGTGAGTTGTAGGAATTCAGATGATGTCAGCATATTTTACATTTAGTTTTCTTTCAATTCAGAAAGTAAAATTTCTGCTTTCTTTTTCATTGGGCAAATAAGAGAACTTTATTTTGAAATTCATCATAGAAAATAATGTATATTCAGGTCATTCATCACTGTCACCTTTTCCCTCCAAACTCCATCCAAAAATATACCTAAATGGTTATATTACAGTAATACTAAATCAGTATCATACATGTCTTGATCTTCGGATATAATATTTCAACCATGGAAAAAAAAATTGCTTGATTAGACGCTGAATGATTAAACTCAAAGCTACTGCTACTTTTCTCAGAGCTAGGTTCCTTATAAACTAATTATTGATAATGCATAACAAAGAAAATAATCAATCAGCTTATGTTACGTAAAAATCAATTTATTAGAATTAAGAACGAATTTGACCTAACTCAATTTTAAAAGCTAGCTTAATAAGTGAGGATTGTACAATAAGGAGTACTTTAACCATATATCTGAAGTGGGTTCTTAATCTTAACCTAATATAGAACCCATCATTTTAATATCCCAGCATAAGAA